GCTAGCGAAAAATTTTTACATGGAAATTGTAGATCTCGTCGTCCTCTACAAGAAAGGTCTAATGCAATTTTCCCGTATATCCAACAGTTTGGGAGTTATTGACCAAAAACGAAAATTTGGAAGAAATTGAAGGGGTACCCCTTGGAAAAATCTCGGAAAAATCGAAAATTTTGTTTTGTTGTTTATTATTAGCAATGTTCTTCCGACGTCTGATTTCTTTTTAATTATAGGAAATGCGTTTTTCTAAGGTACATAAACTTTTGGGATTGACTGTATAGCCAATACATTCTTAAAAACGATTAGGTCTCCCGTGTGTCTCGCATGATTGACGTAACAGAAGCTATAACCAAGTTGTAAACCTACAAATGATTATCGTCGGGCGATGAATTACGTGACAGAAAGTGACTGCACATGTTGGGCGTCACAAGTTCTGCAAACTTCCTAATTTAAAACTTATAGAAACTTCTACCTTTTATCACGACTTCACAAATATTTGTTCTAACTTTCGGGACGCTATCAAGCGATAAAGAATGAAATGATAAAAAGCTGATGTGCAGAAATTATCTCTTATCGATCTCCGAGCAGACATTTACGTTTCTCATGATCTACGGTATTAACGAGCTTAAAGAACAGATGTGTTTTCGTGCACCGTCTGGGTACATTCTGCCAAATACATTGTAACTTTCCATTGCCGTAACGCATTGAGTAACACCTATTCCACTGCGATTTAATAAGATTTTTAAGATAACTAAATCATTGATATCAATAAATTTGCATGAATATAGATACTCAACGTGAACGACGGATATGCGAAATTCATAACATTAAAATTATTAGACGTGGAATTATATAACTAGACTAATCACAGAAATAACGCTTTGTAATGTGTATCCCGTTTTCTGGCCGCTCGTCAAAGCGTCAACGCGTCGTCTTATCCCCGTATCGAAATTTCCTTAGACAGGAAGGGTAAAGATAATGATAAATCCGCGCGTTCGCGGTTTGCGTAGGCAGACTGGACGTTAGCTCCAATTAAATTTGGCAGCGAAATTCTGGCACGATTTTAGAATGGCCCACGTAGTCGATTTCACGGCCACCGACGCAATGAGTGACCGATCCCTCAAGATACCAGATCCCTTGCGACATAAACGCCTTAAACTGTTGCAGCCAGATTAATATTCAAGTACAGACTGTTGTTTGTTCTTCGGTCCCTTCATTATTTTCTTTGATCCATTTGCACAATCAAAAAATGAATTTCGGTTTGATGAAATATTAGAATGAAACTTATTGTAAGTGCTGAGTAAATCTAACATCACTTGGTACATTCTGCCAAATTATTATGTTACATGAATTACTGTGTTACTACATGAAACGTTCTGTCAGATAATGTATTAAGCCTCTGCCTAATTAATTCTCTAATTTAACGGAATACACACCTGCAAAGCGGCAAGTGGACAAAGAAGAGCGTCGAGATATTTCTGTTACACCGGGATCATGCAGTTGGTTGTACCAAGATTTACAGAGACGTGAACGTAGCAAAGAGGAAAAGGGAATTCGAGGGTGTATTTCGGTCCCAGCAGCGGCTGGGCCCTCCAGCCTTTTCGTCCCACCGGGTCAGCGAAATTCCTGGCTAAATTTAAGCCCGGCTATAGCTAGATAATTACGATTTTGCGTAAGAGATAGCAGACTCTCGCGTGAAATAACGGATCGACCACGTATACACTCGATTATTCTCGAACCTCGTGCGATCAAGCTTTCGATATCAAATTGAAATTTAACAGATCACCGATACTACCAGAAATGAAATTTCGTTATCTCGCTGAATCGTAATTTAAGTTTCAATCGATTTCGAGTAACGCGCGTCGTTGATCAGCACAGATAATTCTCATTTCGTAATTAGGAGGGGACGTTAAAAGATTTTTCTTTGTAATAGTAGTAGTAACGACGGTTCATCATTATTGTCTGACAAGCTTGTTTAAGATTTGTTGAACGATGCGCTTAATTGTTCCACTGGCTAATTTCATTGGCCGCGTATCAACTCGGCCTCGTCGATTGAGTTCACTGAAACGCGTTCAGATTTCACGTTCGACTTACGAACGAAAGTTTCTCGATTAAAAAGCACTATTTCTATATTTTTTAGTACATTGAATTGTTGACATAACGGTGACATAATGCGAACGTTCAATAAAAGTCTGCTAGTCATTTTACGTAACGATGTTATCGAGATATTACCACAGAAAGTTTTACGTGCCAATCATCACGATTCTCGCTTTGACTCCATTCAATTCGAGTTTGATCGTTTCATCGATATCCTCGTGTAATATCGGAGAGTTCATTTCAGCAACGTCAATGCTATGACAATTCTCATTAAATTTTACTCTTTTATAAAGAGAAAGGGTTTGTATGAAAATTCTCATTTTAATTCTGTACGATAATTGGTCAGACAAAGCCACTACTAGCGATGCTAGGATATATAATACAAGCGTCTTTAAATTCAGAGTGCAGAATTTTTACGATCTATAGAAAAATGCGAAATGTCTCTGAATAAGCGGTATCCAATTAATCGAGACGAAACCGAAGAAACGTGGCGAAAGGAAAACAGAATCGGAATGTTTTCCACGTTTGAGGTGCCAGCCGAATGATCTTGGCACGTCGCGATGTTTTCACGGAAAGCAAGAATATCTGACGTAGTAGGATCGCCAAGATTATGTAATAAACAAGCAAGGTGGCCATCGGCAGTGGTTCTGGCAAGCATCGAAATTATGTGCTCGATCATTCCTGGGACATTGACATTGAGAGCAGAGTTTATAATGGTTGATCGTCGAAAATCAATTATGTATTACGTTCGACTAAAAATTAATCGTGTCATAAAGGGAAGGTTTCAGGTAAAACAAGACGGTTCAGTTTTCTAGTTATTTTTCCCCACGAGAATAGCATCCGATGGGTGTGCGTCAGTGTAGTGGACGACAAATATTTGCCGTACTTGGTACCAGTCACGCGATAAAATTGTCCGCTTCAAGCTAGCTAAATCAACGTTTTACCGCGCTTATTGTGGTATTTAAACTGTCGTTTCTACGACTCCCGGCCCGAGTGGCAATTCTCTCGGTCGGTGCGTGGATCTTCGAGAGCGGTACGAATCCTCGAGTCGAACGATCTATAGATCTCTGTTTGCGTAGCGGTCGCGATATTCTTGAACGGTTGAAAAAGGAAACGGGAGCATCGGGTTTCGGAAAAATCGAATAATGTGTGTTGATTAGTGTTCAATGCGGATATTAATAATTCAAGTAATCGAGACCGGTATAATACTGTTACTGTTTTACGTAATGTCACAGGATCATTGCATCGGGTATTATATTTAGTCGATCGTGAGACTTTGACCAAGGACGTTTTTCAGACCCAGGGTTGGTTAGAATTTTCTCGTCCCGTGTTTGACGAGCAATTAACCGTTTGAAAGTTTGCTGGGCAAACCCTGCGACGCTCGCCAGGAGGTTCAATGGAGAAGATATGAAACAGTTCTCAGGATAAAAATAAGAAGGAAGTAATTTCCCTCCGGCCATTCACGTAACTTTTCTCGTCAACCCTGCCGGCCGGACCAGCTCGAACTCTTACATAATCCTTCTGACGAATCGTTAGAGGTAACTTTCCCAACATTTTTAATAATAACTCCCCGGCGGTATTGTCTCCTTTACTCGATTTCAACCGGAAACGCCCACGGTTCAAACATCACCGATTACCAAGTGCTCCTCGAACGCAGTAATTCCTTGAAACCGATCGATTTTCATGCGTATCGATTACGAGCGGCAATACGTTTCCGCGGTGTACCCGCTATCGGTTGACTTTATACATCGCGACCGTAATATCGACGATTCCGTTTGAAAAAAAACCGAGCCGACCTTGAAAAATTTCAACGCTATCACCTTTAAGCAAGCGAAACCTCTTTAATACATCTTCCGCGATGTGCAGGTAACGTTAAGTCTGCGCAGATGTAGTCGTTAATTATCGACGTTTACTCGTATCGATTTCCTATTATCTATCCTGAAGAACTGAACCTCCAAGAAATGGTGGAATCGCGTGTTCTATAATTAAAGTAAATTGTACGTTTGGTGCATGAAATTAAATTGATGGATTGAAGAAAAGGGATCATTTTGGGCATTCCCATTGGCCCGATAGGGAAGGTAGGTATGTAGGTTTTGTATTGATCTCTGCGTTGAGGCGACCTTTAATATCCCCTCTCCCGGGCTCCCCGACTCGTTGGATAGAACGAGATAGAGTGACGACCGCGGGGTGTCGAGGGGTGTTCCGAACGCGACCTACAACAAGCGCCGACAGGCGCACAGCTGATTTCGTAACGGCCAGCAGGCGACACTCCCGGAGTTCCACCGTTCTCCGGAAACGCTCCGTGACCTATATATCCTGGAGAACCCGGGGAACAAGGAAACGGACTAGCTCTGTGCACGAAGCCCTTGAAAAAAGCGTAGGAGTCATTGAAACTCCTCATAAAAGTAGAATGAGATCGTACAAAGACTAGAAATAATAATTCGAGTCGAAAAACCGATGTTTCATATATGTACTCATCCGATTATTAAAACAGCCGTTAAACTGGTGTTCAAATGAAATTGTATGGAAGAGAATCGCATGATGCGAGCTCCCTGAGACGGGTAATTGAATATGTAAGGGGATTGAGGATGTTGCTCGGAGGTGACGTCATTTTTAAGGTCTCGGGAGACAGGACAATTAAGTAACTGTTCGCAGACAGCCAGGGGGAGAGGGAGATTACGCGTTTTTGCGCGTGTGTCGTGTCAACGTCGACAAACACGACGTCATAATCGGCTGAAGAAGCTCAGGTAGGTATAGTGTATGGCATCCGTTATTTATAGATCGTTACATTTACACTTGTACAGTGTCTGATTAAACGCGTGTAATAAGGTTGGAGATAAACGGTTGTATCATCTATGATCGTTCAAGAATGCCCTCGGCTTAGTTACTCGCGACCGTCTTTCAGATCACTGAACCTACCGGTTGCCCGTTTTTTGCGAGAACCGGTGAAAGAGCCACGTTTCACAGTGGTGATTCATGAGATCGAGAACAGGCGGAGATAGGAGATGAATTACTTTGCTCGACATGGTCAGGTTTGTTAATCAATTATTTCCCCAGTCACGACTCGGATCGTCTATTTAATTCGTCGAGCTCCCAGCAAAAATCGTAGTTGTCCAACTAGCGATTGAATTAAAAAGGCTTGTTTAATCTGTTTCGAAAGCAACCACGAGTAGTTTCCTATTGTGCTAGACGTGGTGGGTAACAATCGGATAGTTATCTTCTTTCTATGTACGTCGGTCCTTTGTTACGAGGACGTTGACTTGAATATGCCGATAGTGTAATTAAACGAGATCGATTATCGATCGGCCACATTGTGCCGCAACGACGATTAGAAAATATATCGGCCATACATTGCTTCCTGTTCGCGAAAATAATTACGACTTCTTTTATACGGTTTCATTACATGCTGGCAAAAGCTCGGTCATAAATACACACATTATAGTAGATTCGACAATAATGTTTCTTACGTCTCGTCCTTACGATTTCGCTTGGTCCGCGTTGGTACCTTCATAAAAATGTTTGCCATAAACAGCCAGCATTTGCTTCCATCCATGTAGGAATGCTAAACCAGATGTTCGAAGGATAGAATCGCGTTCGAGGAGATTGAGAAACACTGCGGTAAAGGGAGCCACGATTTTCGTTTGTTACCAGAGGAATCGGACGAAGGATGATAATTAGGACGAAAAAAATCGAGGTAGCAACCGACGACGAGGTCCTCGTAGAAACAACGGAACGGAGGAACGTGGCTGGACCGCGAACCGTTCCTGGGTGAGGCCGGCGGGGTCAGGAGGGGAGATACACAAAGGAGGGATGCGATTGGCCGAGGCGTAGAGGAGAGGTTCTCTGCTGTCGCGAGGCGAGTTGATTCCGCGCCACTTCGTTTCCGACTCGTGTCTGCGTACGACGTGCCCCGAGGACTAAATCTAGACCGCATCCTTCAACTACTTCTTATCCTCAAAGAGGTAAGTCAAATATTTCCGTACGTCCCGCATAAATCCGCGTTCGCTCCCGCATTGTTCTACAAACATGCCACGAAGATCGTGCCCGATCCACACGATCGGAGATCGAACCTCACCGGTCGTACCACTCTTCGTCTCTTTCGCCGATTGTTAGAATAAAAATTGCATCGTAATTCAACTACGTGTCGTGGATCCCGTTCACTAAACACCTACTGTACAGGATTGGAACCGTATCGTGAAATATGTCAGGAGATCACTTGTCCTGCGTATTTCCCATCGCATACCGAATACCGGTGAACGTTCGAAGATCGTGATCGTTGTGGATTGGCATAATTTATTCTAGCGACCCGGTCGTTTGTACGTAGAATTTTATAAACGATAGGGTCACGTTAAATATTCAAGAAATGAATCAGCGTATGGATGATCACCGGTTATCTCAATGGCATTTCGCGTCCTGCTGCCGTACCGGTTTTTAGGTTAGCATAAGATCGATCAAATGCCGATACCAGCAATTTTTATTTGCGATCTAAACTACGATCTGTGTTTAGAGATTCACTTACACTGACAGTATTAATTAAGTTTTTATGTACTGAGGTGTAAAATCGACGTGTCGTGTTTTTTATATTTTGGATTATACGACATTATCCAATCCAGAAATAAAATCTCTTGGGTCGTTACATCTTCGTACGATTAAAATGGCGGAAGTAACAGTCCCATAATTTACGAGGAAAGTTATTCGACTTAGCCCGCTAATCTATTTCGCTCAGCCAAGCTAATTGCCTGATAATTAGTTTTAAGGTAATAATAAAAAGATTAACAGAGACATTTTTACATCCGCGTGTTAGAGTGATACGGAGATAGTTGCTTCCGTATCATGTGAAATCATTAACCTCCGTTCCATGAGAAATATCATACAATTCTCGACGGAACGTGTCCAATGAGACTCTGTAAAAAAAACATGAGACGACTTCTCTACTCATATTTCAAGGCTACCTGGTATTCTGCTCAACGGAAATTCGGTTGAACGTAGAGTTACACGAAATTATTTAATTCGTCGGGTTTAATGATTTTCAACGACAATGTTTACTATCGTTTTACCTGCTATCGTTATCGATCTGACTTCAGGGGTTTCATTGGTACCGTATTACACGTTCGTGGTTCTTCTTTTCACACGAGACATTCATTTTCTACGGTTATCGATTTCAATAACGCTGAGTAAGATTAACGTACCGGTTTTCAAGTTCCTCTCGACGGATTCCGACGAAATTTTATTTCCTCCTGCATATTTCTCATCACATTAAAATACAACGTTACACAATTTCATGTATCATATTTCCAACAATCCGATGCAAATACGTCATCAATTGAATCGATTGTTCATTAGCATAATAGTTGCCGGTGATTACTGTAACAAATGCGAATCGACCGGCTCAATTTCCGGCGAACAATTTCAGAAAAGATTGAAACGCATTTCCGTTTACGATCATTACGCAATTTACCAGCCATCTCTCTTTCCGAATCGACCTAATCAAAATTCGATCGTATGAGAATGTATCGAATATGTAAATCGCGAGGTACGTTGCATCGGATTTCCTTTGCGCGGGGATACTGTCAAAAGTAAATTGACAGATTACGGTCGGACCGGTGGTACATACAGCCAAACGTGTGGGTGCAGCAAGATTACGTAAGGCCAGGGATGCCCAGTGATTCTCAAATTTCTCCGCAAATTTAAAGCCGACCGTTCAGTTCACTGCGTTTACGAATTCAACGAATCATCTCGAGTATTTCGCGTTCCACAAAAATGCATATTAATCGATAAATACAAAAGTTTGCAATTAAATCGCAAAGAAATATAAAATGAATTTCATTCGTCCAATGATTGATTCGTACCGGTTTACCGTTTTTGAACAGTAAAGGTTAACAATTTCGGAATTGTGGACGTGCGAAGTTGATTTATCACGAGAGAGGAAGACGGAGGCGCGTTATTAGGGAAGAAAAGTGCATCGATGCGTTTCTTAGTAGGAGGCTCGTTAGACCAGAGAAGACCGGAGATTCGTTTGAGCGGCGCGTGCATGCGTTATGGCGTTTGGTAATTCAAAACGGAAATTGATAGTTGGCGGTCTCCCGATCGGGGCTTCGTGTGCAAGAAACGCGTCGTCGTGTTCGTGTCTTGTGGGTCTACGTTCGTTTGCATGCATACACGGAACGCGTGCATACGATTACAGGACCGGAATGCATTGCCTGTCTGCCGGCAATGTTTCTCTCTGATCGATTCTTCGCGACACAACACGTACTTTACTACTTCTACTGCTACCATTCGTCAGATCGCGTGTCAAGTTTATAAATAAAGAATAATAATAATAATAATAATTATTATTATTATTATTCCTGGTCGTTGTTTACTGTGTAAATGCAAACACGAGAACTTTGAACTTTCCTTATTTTAATTAATTAGTTGATAGTTTTGTTTTTTACGTTTATCTACCGGCTTACATCATATGGATATAGCTTGCCGATTAACAGATGGCCTCTATCGATCGCTTGTTATCTCCTCTGACGTGTTGCACTTGTGATATTTAACTCTTTTACCTGGCGATTTCACGGTGAATGAAAATCACAGTCTCCTTTAGATAATCCGATAGAGGAAACCTTTAGCATACTTAGACAAGAAAATTTCAATGAAAATGTTGACGGTATATTTAGATTCAGCCGAATGACGTTGATTTGATAAAATTATCCGAGTTTCCTTCGACTAAAACGAGCCTAATGATTTTCTGAAACGATATCCCTTTTCTTTTAATAGTGTGCACATAGCGTTCGCGTGAATAGAGTGTACCACTTAACCAGGCCGCTGTTAATCACAATAAAGTGCAATCATTTCTGGCGAAGACGAGGTCTTTGAACCCTCGAGAATACTTCCGGAATTTCTCATGTTAATTACAATATTCCCAGTTTAATTTCTACAGTTCAGTGAATTATAGGAGATATCCGGGTTATATTAGATTACTAGAAGTTACAACGAGTAGACAATTCGACGATGAGATCCACATTCACGATTAACCTTGGACAGCGTAAATATTTTAGTCTCTTCTACCAACAGACGAGTCTGTTACAAAGAAAATTTTCTAAAGGTCTACTATAACGCACCCTAATAATTTATGTGGAATTGTATTCTTAGTCTCTCCTTGACATTAACGCGTTTAGTAGTGAGTTCGAAACTTCTGGAAGGCATTACGAACTTTTCAAGAGCTATTGTAATCATCTGAAACCACAAATGATGCTATTATAAGTAATTAAAGTGAAGATCGGAATTAGCAAATGTAGCAGAGTTATTGTTTCGACGATGACGAACGCGTTAGAGGTTGAAATCTCGTGTCTCATAATTGAGGCTAACAATGAAGCTGCACGAGTTTAAAAATACATGTTGGCCAACACTTGTTGGGAGTACTTTGCTTGTTTGTCATCTCCTGTTAGATATTTAGCTCGCGACGGCTTGGTACATACGCATTGCTGCTACAATTAATAGTACGTTGTTGATTCGCGATTTGCAATTTAATCCTTCATAGATCATTAAACACGATTTTTCGATATTATTAAATATGATCTTTAATAACATTCAATTTCTTATTAGAATTCTTTAAGACATTCAGAGTTAATGCGTATTTTATTACGTATACGTAACGACGTATATTTATGATATGTACATTCATTAAGGCAGGGTTTTAGTTATGTATTAATTATTAAATTCTAAGTATCGTAAGGTCTATAGATGAAAAGCGCGGCACGAGCTTGCCGGGTAGTGAATCGACGGGAAAGTAGCTTCTAGTTATACCCAGCAGAGGCCACCACAAACCGGTGTCGGCTCGACGAGCAGCTAATCGATAAAACTGTTTCAAGAAAGATACGCAATGTGAAAAGACTGTAATATCCCTCGCATTGAAATCATTCTTCGGCTCGATAAATTTATAATTTCGAAACAGATCTGAATAGTACTTAATATCGTACATACTTGATCGACTATGCCGGTGATACCATTCGTATAATTCGACGCAATTCCTTGCGTTCATTAACAAAGCTGTGTCAGGAATGATCTCATCCGGTGAATCGCATTCATTTCCTAGTCACTTGCAACTGTTTCCTCTTTTCGTTCTACTCGGATTAGCACGTGCATAAAAATTAGACCGGATTTTTCCCGAACTGGCATTAACGAATGATTCCAGATCTAACAGGATCGACGATTAAGATCACGTTTCGGGAATCAGGTCCATAAGAGGTCCATAATTCAAATTTGCGAATAGAGTCAGGGATGGCTGATTGAAATTGCGTAATATTTGCTGTTAAAATATTTTCGACAAATGTTTGATAGGAGCCTGGCGATAAGATTTAACGCGTACAACCATTTTCGCTTTAAATGAATCCGATATTTACTTTCCGTTGGAAGCCTACCGCGCAGTTCTCATCTCCGAAGTGCAATTACTCATTGTCGGACTCACAACCGTGACGAGCCGTGGTCCTTGAAACCTCGTCTCAAATCGCTTCAGTCGGAGTTGCTTCGATTTCCATCGTTCGATACTCGAAAATAAGTTAGAACGTTAAAATTATTTCCTAGTTTTTGTATGATTCATAAGAAAGAATTCATAAGAAAGAAATTAAATAATTATTCGAGGCAATTTAAATGATCGTTCA